ATGAATGGTCAGAGTCGTACACATACATCGTGGAGTCAGCAAAAACAATCTCCACGGCAATGATATATACGTGTACAAGCCTCTCATGCCTTTCCCCTGAGCCTCGGCAACAACCCTACGACCCATTCGGCCATATATTCCGGCAGTACATACTCGTTACTGGTACTTTGCAGCGCTCGATACTCAATGTCAACAGCACCAAAAAACTCGGTGCTCAGTATGATCCGACCAGACATGTCGAATGATCGTGGATATCGTAGAGCTCGATCTCGCAATAATTTCATGGCCATGTTGATGTGCTACATCAAGAAATACATATAAAAAACAAAATAATTATGTATACATGAGAAATAACAATATGACTATTTCACTTACATCGTCGACGAGCCACGTTCCTAAAGTGGTGATGTCGTGAAACCACTTATAGGCATTTGAGATCATCTTCGTTCCAACGATGCGACTAACTCTGAAAAAAAAATTGCAAAATACTTACTCAGGCTTAATCATTCTCCACTCCGTCTCGAGCGCTTTCTAGTTGGCTGCGTCCACCTCCCGGAATAGATTGGGGGTATGTCCCGTCGACGAATGTCCTCCTCTTCGCCTTGGTCGTGAATAGAGCAACGACGTACTGCGAAGGCACTCGAACCCTCTTGCCGATCACCTGCTTCGGGGCATCAAGGCGTGCCTTTTTCCTGCAGCTACGTTGGCGTACGCTCGTCCTCCACCATGGGGACCACCATCTCCTCAGGGGCCAATGCCTCTGTCATACTCTCCTCCGGGCTCCCCACCACCACTACGATTAGGGTTACCCCCTCCGACTCCCCACGTCCCCCGGGGCCTCCATCCTACCATTCGGGCCCTCCGTCACCCCCTTCAGGGTTAACAAATATGATTGCAGCGCATCATTATCTGCGAGCTCCTCATTAAGATCTACCACGTGGCGACGTAGAACAACAACATCATTAGATAAATCCTCGATCCATCCCCTAAACTCACGTGACATCTCTCTCGTCTGTTGACCTATGGTTGATCATGACCTTAATGTTTTGATTATAACAAACAAGTCCATCTTGTT